TGTAAAAGGAAATGCCAGAATATTAGAGAGAGAAAGAGAAAAGCCAACATGCCCCATAATTGAAATACAAATTATGTTGTAATAGTATATTTCACGATAACAGTTAGAATAAACTCCAATACAATATCAGACCGTTGTTGGATACATGGCAAAATATGTCAAAGGTTAGAAGGCACGCGGTTAGAGTTAATCTAAAGTATGTCAGAGTATACCCGATCAAATCGCATCTTTGATTCTTGGACCTAACGTTTTACATCGAAAATCACTCATCATATCAACAATATCACTGTTCAAAATTTGATTGTACTGTAAAAACCATAGAACGCTACGAATCTTCAATATATTTTATATACTCGTATGTGTAATTCATTATATGCATATAAAATATTAATATATACATGTAATTATACAATATTATTACTACATTATTTTCTTGAAAGTTTAAACAAAAAACTTGTATAAAATGAAGTCAAGTCGCTTTTATACGAGTTTTACTTGTTTAACATGAAAATCTCATTCAACGTTGCATGAATATTAAGTAGGTACATTTAACGCTAAGTACACGTTGCGTATAAATATTCTGCGGAGAAACCCCTTCGTGGACAGCAGCGGGTGTTAAAAAGAGTCTGGAGATAAAACTGAAATCTGAGTAATACCATGACGAGTCACGGCTCCGATTATATTCAAACTTCCTGTATGCAGAGATCCTCGTAATGAATCCTTATCCAAAGACGCGCTTACGCATGGCGGATGTGGCATCGTTCGCCGTGATTCTTACATAAATGTGTGTGCATGCGCGTATATTTATTATAACGAATATTCCCGTGACCATATATTTATCATATATGCAATATTGATATATTTTGTTGTATCAATGGAGTTGGATTTGTTGAAAATTGCACACTTTATGTCACCCTTGTGTCATAGATCGAAAAGGAGACTTGGCGAACTCGTTTACACACATCTGGGTCGGTGAGAAATAATCATGGGACAAAGATCGCAATTTGTATAATTGCATAATTGGGTGCACAGAACATGCGTTGTATATGCATAGAACAGATCGATATGGAAATTATAGCAATATTGCAATCATGTGCAATTATTTTTTCTATTACATCCATCACTGCTATATTTTTCTCTATTTTTTGCAAATGTGCACAGGATATTTTTCCATTGAATAGCCTAGTACTACAGTGACAGTTTGGACGGTAAAGCGAGAAAAATGTACGCGATCGGAAACAGAATAATGCTTGTTGAGCGGATTATTCGCGGCGCAACGGTATTATAGCTGCAACTTGTTGGGTCTCCGGTAGAAGCGAAGTTTCCGTACTTGTTCGTTCCGTATACGGCGGCCGTAATGATCGATTCGCCTCCGGTTATCGGTTTTCCTATGGAAATTGACCTCGCCGATGCGCGCGTACTTTTCTGCGTAAATAAGAGATTTCCCTTTGAGGGATAACTTTCCGTTCGCATGAAAAGCGATATCATCATGCCGCAAGTTTCGTTACTTCCCAAAAACATAAATGACGATTTACTTCCTCGATAAACAATGCAACGAACAATGAAAATTACCGATAGCTTCGTTTTAATTATCGGTTATTCTCCGATAACAAGAATCTCGTGCAGCTTGACTTCGCCTAAAGCATAGACGAACCATTTTTACGAACATTGATCGCTCCCACATAATTTTAATGAAACGATATTCATTTTTTATTTTACAAATGTGTGTGAACAGCACGTAAATGGAAATTTTTAACGATTACAAATAAAGGTCTCAATCTATTCGTTTGGAAGGCAAGACAAACCGATAAATATGGATAAAATTCAAATACAAGATGCCCGGAATTTATACAATTGAATAATAACCATATAAAATTTTTTCAATATTAGATAATAATATTTGATGGGTGTGTATATGTGTGACAATTATTCATTTACGATTTTTCAACTGTTAACTATGTGTTTCTTTTGTTCTGCTGCGTGCAAATGAGTCGCGTGCTTGGCGATCGAGTTCCACAATTAACGAACAAAGACGATTTGTGTATATCATAAACGCAGTGTCAGACGCCCGACGTTATTCGTCACTAAAGATAAGCTTCTTGAAAACTGCACACGCTCACGAATCGAAGCAAAGGATGTTGTACCCCAGAGATCGATTACGCAATTAATGTCCGTATCCTGCACGATGTAATGCTCCATTTACGTTCCAAGCAACACAAGTAATAACATTTTTTTAGGCTTAGCACTAATAACTCTCGTTCGTTGGCTACAAAAATAAATATTGAGCGAAAAGAAAGTGTGTAAAGAAAATAACCCGCGCGACTAAAATAACACAAAGACTCTTCGGAAGATTTGTTCTCAATTATTTGTAAATCGAAGAATTGTTGGTCCTTTGACAATAATTAATTGATGAATCTCTGAGAAAAGAGAAAAATATCCGCGAGCTTCTAACATCTATATAAAATACATATTGATAGTTTTCACTTTTTTAAGCATTAGAGTGCGATATAGTAGACTCTTGGCGATGATTAATCTTCATCCGAAGCGTCAAGCGTCCGCACAATGAGCTCTCGGGTGGCGCGTGTGAGCGGAGCGATGGCAGGGATAAAGTGCCACGATATCACGGGAGGAAGGTTAAAGGTCAGACGTCCAATTCGCGTACGGGTCACAGAGTCGCCCGAGGACACACGTGAACTCGCGTGTACCTGCCATGGTACTGTCGATATTTTTTCTGATATTGCAGGAAAAAAATATTCAACTCATCACCGATGAGCACGCGTTCGGAACTTGTCAAAACCGGTAAATGTGTTGCTATCTTTACGATGAAAATCATTGTCGATATTTTACATCTCGCGTGCATGTAGAAAAATTAAATAAACATTTTTAAAAATGGTTTATACATATTTTATATTTTCAGAGATATGATTAATTTGCATGAGTTGTTTTTTTTTATCTTTTCTTGAAAATCCTGTAAAATAAACGTTATATAATAAACGGTAAACGACATAAAAAGCAAACTACATTGTGTTATCAAATTCTACAGTAAACTCTGTTATTTTATTTCTATTATATATAGAAAAATATCGGTGGAAAATGATTCCACGATTGGCGGAAGGTCCGTGGTGAGTCCGCCGGAGGTGAATAAATTTTATAATTAACGTTTCGAAATAACAGCTCATGTGCGAAACAAATGTTTCCCGCTGCGAAATTTCAAAGTTCAATGCGGCAGGGAACAATATGCGTGGTTATTACAAACGATGTAATCATTGGTAAACTATCTCGAGTAAAGCAAAATTCGGTATAGAGTGCGTCGATTAATACAAAGCTCGAATATAAATTGTATTCGAGTAAGCCGGGCGCGTAATTGAAAGCCGAATCTGATTGATATTGAATGCTAAACCAGTTCAATCCAACAGACCATGTAGAATCTACGCCCTTCTGTTACAGTCACACAAGTCGAATATGTTTAATGTAATGCCAGTATTTCTTAGAAATTTTACGAATTACAACAATTAATAATATTAAACTAGATTTAAAAAATCTTTTATGAGAATCAAGAGAATGAAAAAATAGATATAATTTTTTGAAGTCAACTAAATTTACATTAAAAGCTACATTAAACGTTAAGAGAATTTCTTCTTTTTTAATAAATATTTAATATAATAGAATTAACAATGTAAAAGATAATCTGTATATAAATGAAAAAGAAAAATTAATGAAAAATAATGTTCAAAAAATATAATTTTGCTATAAATGCTAGCACAGATAGTTCAAAATATTTGTTTTAATTATTTTTTAACATAAATTATCATCATCTTAATATGGTTTAATCGACTATCAGCAAGTAGAGTCACGTAATTTGTCGGTAAAACAGTTTAGAACGTGGTTACAGATGGCAGCTCGAATCAGAAACTTAATTTTCTATCCACACAGTGTAATTAGAGACGTAAACCAGTCGTTTCCAACAACTTCGTATGCTCGAATAAAGTTCACCTGTAATATCAGAACATTCCGCGCAACTCTGCAATTAATGTTGCGACTACAAACGAAATTAAACCTGGCTTACGCGATAGTCGTTTCACATTTTCAGGATGATTTAATAAAAATGCACGAAGCGATCCGAAAGGAAATATTACGTAGATATTACAATAGCATTCCACTTTTCTTTTGCAGAAAAAATTGTAACATTGTTTCAATTATTTATTATTCACTTTTTCATTTCCTATCTAAACTTATAATTATTAACGTACAAATTTACTTTTAGAAAAAGTTCTATACAAAATAAAAAAATAAATAATAAAATGTAAAACATATTGAAATTTTATCTCGATTAGCGATATCTCTTTTATATTCGGCTCAAAATTTATTAACATTTTCTGTAGCAAAAATCCTGTGAACGTTGAAAGAAATATTTTGGAGATCCACAATTTGCGAAAAAAAAAAGCAACTTTGATGAAAAAAAGTTGGTGATCGTCAGTCCCGCACGTTTTGTTGGAAAGTTTGGCCTAATTTCGGTACGTCGAGAATCGACCGCCGCTGGAAACGAAATAAAGCGAGCTAAGTATGGGAGCGCGTGACGGGGGATTCCAAAACTCTTCTGAACCAGAGCATAATATACCGAGAGAGAAACTATCGATTAACTGTCCGCCACGTTCTGTCTCGCGAACGTCCGGAGCGCATTGTCTTTTCGCCGCGCGATATCGCCGCTTATACCGCACTTCGCATACCATAGCACTCTGAGAATATCTTGTAAACGCTCGCCACGACTGTTTCGCGTTCCGCGGTAAGCCAACCAGAAAAAAAATTACGCTTGCTCGCCCAGTTTTGATTGAAACCGATTGTGAGTGTGCGTGCGCACAGAAACTTTGTAAAACTGAATAAATAAAGCATTCCTTTGTGGCTAAACTTTCTCGAAAGCGTTAACGATCCAGGCCGCATTCTCTCCTACCGTTTCTTCTTCCATCTCACTTATCGCAAATACGAAGCAAAGATTTACTTACGACAATCATCTCGGAGGGCTCGAGGACGAAGCATTCGTTGGGTCGCCTGGCGCTGCCACCCGTCCGCTTCCCGAAGCTGCAACAGCAATAAAAAGACATTTTTTTATTAAAAAATTCATCCCGTTATATAGATATCACATCACATATTCCCCATACAGATTTTTACATTTTTACATTTTTATTTGTGGAATTTCATAATAGGATGTAATATAAATATCTTGCGATAAAATATTATATAAATAAATCTGGAAGTAAATTTCACAAATCCCAATGTCAAATGTGACTTATTTGCTTCTAAAAAAAAAAATACTCTAATATAAAAAGAGAATAAAGTATATTAGAGTATAGGATTAAACAAATTTTTTTAAATTCATTTGTTTGAGTCGTTAACATAGTTACAAATCGATGACCATACGAACGCTGTGGTGCGTGTAACTAATCAAATTTTGTAATAAATAATTATACTTGATAGCGATTTCTAAAATTTGATAAGTCGCACGCATAACCGCGCCCCAGTACTGTGGTCATCGATTTGTAACTACAGAATAAAATATTCGTATTATACCTATTCTTTCGTACAATATAAAAGTAACAGCACTTTGTCGAAAGTCAACAGTCTGAGGTCTTTCATCGTATCTCATAGAGATAAAAGGGGGAGATTCCAAAATTTCATCATTTTATCATGTGAATCCCTCAATTTCGTATAGTTTCAGACAATACGAGGGTGTTCGCACGCTCGTGCAAACAACTATTATGCCGTGACGCCATTCTGCGCTCCAGTATTAACTTCTACGACCAATATTGGGCGCTGTGACGCCATCAACAGATGTTCCCCATCGTCGAAAAGGACACTCCTCAAATTAGATATAAAACCGTAATGGCTCCATCAATTTTCGACGATATAGGAAAATCTGCGGTTATATATGAGACGGGAGCTACCGAAATGTGACCGCCCAAATCGAATTCATTTTTCTTAATAAAAAGTATCGTATCATGACATCAAACCTTACATCAACTTACATAGTAGATCAAGAGATAAAATCTTTCCTTGAAAGTGATCGTAAATTATTCAAATTTAATATTAAAAGAAGTTACATAATTTTATCCAATGTAGAGTATGAAATATAGATAATATCAATTTTCTATTCACGTTTACAGCAGAGAAATATACTATAAAGTAGGAACAAAATAAAGGACAATTGCATCGTTGATAAGAAATTGTCTTTCCCAGTTCTCGGTGTATTTTGCTTTATCATATCTAGAGATATCACCACGGAAAGTCCTCTTATAAATTTAACGGTGACGACCGTGAATCGAACGTCGATGTTCGACCGACCGAGAATCGGAAAAGCAAGATGGTGGGTAAAGGGAAGGAGGAAAGAGAGGTTGCAGAAGGCCGTAAGGTTGTTGAAGGCTGTTGACCCGCGTGTTATCCCGCTCCTCCCTCGACTTAACACGACACACAAGCAAAGCCGCGATGCGTAACGCACGCGTAACGCATGCGTAACGCATTGCTCTGCGTGTGTGTATTCGTATATCGCAGAAAATTAAATTCGACATGGATGACGCTCCTCGACTTCTCCGTCTCTTAAGCCCCCATCTTGGGTTAACCCTGTAAACGTCGCATTGCTCGTTTCGCTTCCTCAAGATTATAATTATTTCGTTAGGCATCTAGGTCATCCGTTTTCTGCACGTGCGCCGACATTTCCGCCTCTACTTAGAGACAGAACGATCGATCTTGCCGAAAATATTTATCTAACTAATTTTCACTGTGATTGCGCGCTAATTATTATTCGGTCGATTGAACAAAAGATGATTTTGATAAATTGAAAAGCTAGAATTAATTTAAATTGCACGAAAGTATAAACGAAATAGTTTTAATTCTTAAAGTACGTCTAATTCTACATATCGTTGATATTTAAAAATTTTGTTGAGAAATAAATTTTGACATTTCGATATTTGCATATTCATTCCGCTCAGAGACGATTGATAAATACGATAAATCTCTTTTCAGTTTTATTTCTGTAGATATGATCTAAAAATATTTATAAGAATAATAAATATTTCGTGGAAAAAATGCGCGCACGCAAACACACGCACACACACACACGTGTGTATGTACAGATAGATAAAGCAAATTGGAAATAACTTTCTATACGATGACTTCATATACACAGCATACGCACACACATAATCGAAAAAGAGAACCGATGGTAACCGAATACAGAAAGCGAAATTTAACAGAAGCAGCACAGGTATTTCCAATGGTTTAACAAGCGATTCACTATGTACCTTTAATTTGTTTTCCGGCAACGCTTTTGTAATGGAAGCAATCAAAGCACGCGCGCGTCGCTTCGAATGTCGCGTCCGCTTTATTCCACAACAGCATGTGAAGCCTCGGCACAAACTTTTGTCCAGTCGTGTCTTTCTGTTCCCATTTTCCCGAAATACACTTGTAGGGGACGCTCGTAATTCGCTCTGATCTTAACAAAGACCAATGGCATAGCCAAGCGTTCATTATCAACGATCTTATATACCTAAGCGCCTCTCTCTCTCTCTCTCTCTCTCTCTCTCTCACTCTCTCTCACTTTCTCATTTTCGCTCCCCGACAACGCGACGTCCATTTCGCGAAATTATCCATGCTATTTGACAACATTAGCCACGTGGATCCACTCAACGAAATGAAATATTTCTATGATGTCGTTAGAGCTGTTATCCTTTCCATTATCCTTTTTTTTTTAATCATATTATAACACTATTACTTATCTTTTTTCACGCAGCCAAAATTGTAAATCAACAACTTTCGCTAGAGACAAATTAAGATTAATATGTCGAATACAGAAGACAACTCCAATAACCTTGACCTTGACATATGTTGTAACCTCCCTGAGTAACCTCCACCAGGTTTTAGCCATCGCTCGTGGCATTCATTAAAAAGTCATTAACAAAAGAAGTTTGAAAAATTATGTCCTTTTTTACTATATAAAACAGAAATTTTCCGCTTTAAAGTATATTTTATAACTTTCCACATGAAGCGACTCTCATCCCACCTCCACCTGCCAAAGTTACATAAGAAATTATATAAGAAAATATTTTGCGTTGTTAAAGCAGGGAATTTGTTTCATCGGACCACAGTTGTGTCCAAAAGTTAGATTTTATCGATGAACCTTTTTATCAATTAATTACCTTTTATCGAATAACGAGCGACGGCTAAAATCTAGTAGAGGTCACTCAGGGTCATGACCTTGACAACATATGTCTAATGTTAAGGTCATCAAAGCTGCCTCCCCTATTCGACATATTATATAGCAACGTATGACATGTATTATTTAAAGATACTTTGAACGCAAAAGCAATTTTAAACAATAGGAATTTTTTCATGCAAATTCAATATTATCGCTAAACATTTTCACCAAAATTTTCACTCTATGATTTTAAACTACCAGATTTATATCTACATTTGAGAGAGAGAGATAAGAAGTTATCTATAGTTGACAATAGAAACGTAAAGTGTGGCTTTTGAGCTATTTACTGATAAGTAAAAATGTTGTTTTCATTTCTGTAAGTTGATAAACTTACAGAAATGAAAAAAACAGGTAATTCAAACACACATCACTTAGGTAAAAAATGTACATTTAGATAACTCATAATCATGTAAATTATAATAATAACAAAAATAATTTTACATACGCAAATGACATTATACTAATAACAGTCACTTGCGTAACTGCAAGCAATAACATAACTTATATATTAATAGCTAAAGATATATAAGTCAACTAATAATACAAAGAATCTATTATTATTCTTCATAATTACCTTAATATACATTCAAGTTACTTGCGACTCTCAATTACTTTGCTTTTAATTTTCCGTGCAATCCAAGAGAATTCATATAAGCATACCTCTGCTGTCGCATCATAATTAAAACAATAATAACAATAAAACTTAAAAGTACTCTCTAAATAAATTTCGAGTAAGATTTACTCCAAAAGAATGACATCTCTTTTTCTTTAAAAGGAGTGAGATTTCTTTCCTTTGGAGTCTTACTCCAAAAAAAAACTTCACTCTTTTTCAATAGTGACAATATTTTAATTCTTTTGAAGTGAGTTTTATTCGAGGAAATGTATTGAGTAATTTTCGCGATTGAAAATCGAAATTTCTTCAACGTAATCCTGGACTCACCACACGGAAAACCTTCTTCTGGGAAATGCGGGTGGTGGCGGTGGCTGAGCTCGATGAGTCCTGTCGACGGACTCACTCCTGAGGGCTTGCACCGCCTTAGGCACAGCCCTGAAGGGCTCCTGACAGGCCTTCGTGACTATGCCGCCGTTTCCAACGCCATCGTTGAAATTACCCATGCCACCGCCACCGCCACCGCCACCGCCACCGCCACCGCCACCGCCACCGCCACCGCCACCATGGAAGCTGTTCCATCTCCTCACTGGGCCCCTGTTAGCGCTGTGATAGCCGCCATTATGGCCACCTGGACCGCGAAGCTGACTGGTATGCTTGTGCATCCTCTCAGTGATCTTTTCGCCGGGACGCACTAGGTTCGTCCATCGTCTATCTCGTTATTATATGCGTTTGCACAAATCGACTACATCCTCGATGCCTTTTTACCGTCTTCTCTTCAGCCGTTTAGGAAATCTCGAGCGTACGGCGAGAATTCGAATAAATGTTTCTGCCCTCGGAATGGATTACACCGGGTTGGTAGTTCTATAAATAGCGTTCTAAAATAAATCGATATTCTTTAGATATTACGTTCGAATACGAAGATCAACGAACCAGCCATCGATCGTTAATTTAAAAGATTAATTACGTGTTGTATCTCAAGTTTTGGACCATTACATGCTTCTTCGAAACATTTATTATAATATATAATTCGACAATAGTTAAAATGTTGTTCTTCTCTGTTTGTAAAAATTAATGTTCCATCAACATTCCGTGAAGATGAATTGAAAAAAAATCACACATATCCCCTATACGTAAAACACAGACAATTCTCACAAACAGAGAGCGCCGTTATAAAGAAGAAGTAAGTACTACACAATAATTTTTGTTTTCCCATGACGCGGTACACGATATTTGGATCAAGTCGGCGACGGGGTCGAATAGAGTCAAGTGATTCTTAGTAGCTCTTTCGTACGTGGCATGCATACTTTTATTATACAACCTATGGGATTCGATCGACTTGAAGACTAATGGCGCCGCGATGTCGTCTGCCGTTTCTTTTGACCTTATCAAGTTTATACGTTTGCGCGGAAACGCGATAACGGAAAGAAGAATTTACACCGGCGATAATATTTCGGTGTAAAAGGGAATGGAACATCGCGGACACACGATAGCTGCAGGCTATCGTATCAAAGTGTGATAAACATGGTGTCTTTTCTCTTTTCTCAAATTTCGAAAACATTAAAAGTGCTGTGTTGCAATTTAATATTCAATTTATTATTGAAAAGTAAATAAGTAACTTGTCTATTTTTTCCCATCGTGATGATTATTAGAAACTGCAATTCTTGCTTTATTATTCAATGCAAATTTTGCACCGATTATTTATCAATATTTTAGAGATTGTGACAAATGATTTGTAACGACAAGAGGAGAAATACAAAAGGAGGATAAAAGAAACGTTTCTTCTTCAAGAGAAAGAAGAAGGAATGTATTATTTTCGCAGAGATAAAAATTTTGCTGCTTGCAAATGGTGATGTATTGAAAGTACCCGAAAAAGAAGATAAAACCGATCACTTAATTCTTTTACTCTAGTGTTTTTGTAAACACTAAACTCTCTCTACGCCTCGTTTTTTAGTCCGTTCTCCTACAGCTGAAAGAACGCACGCGCATCACTCAAGGCATCATTATTCATCTGACAGTCTGCCAACAGCCGCACCCTAACGACGATTTGTCATGATGTCAATTAAAAAAGTCGTGTCAAACTCCACTATTCAATAAAACAAACTCGAATGATACGCACACGAACATGGTGTGCTTTTATATCATTCTATCATTGAAATTCTTTTTCTTTCGTGATTTCGCGAAGGTTTGCCGCGATGTTTCGTATCCGTGGGAAAATCTCCGTAACAGCGTGCAAGAAGTTCCGGCGGAAGAATGGGTTTGGAGAGTAGATAGGAGGCCTGGTCTCCCCGAGACCAGGCGTAGAAATTCAGCGAGCTTACGGAAGCTCTTGAGCACGCGCTCGAGAAGGAGCGCGGTTCGTTTTCTCCTCTTGTAACTCTTGGGAAAAGGCGTGAGAGAATCGTCCGGTACAATCGTGCGCTTTTTCACAATGAGCCTGCACAACTGATTAATTCGCTCGCTTTATGCAATATTAGTTTAGCGAGATTATCCATCGAACTCGCAAACGATAGTCAACTACTCCAAGTTGGAGTCAACCGAGATTTTCATTTTAAAAATTTCAGGCCTAACGTAAGATATCCTTTTAAACTATTTCAGCCATGGACACGCGAATAAAATTCTATGAAATTCTTTATGCGAGAGAACGACACGAATTGTCTTAATGGTAGAGAGCACAATATGCTTCAGCAGGTCGCTCGTTTTCTAATATCTCAACGAGAAATAGAAACAAGGGAATCTCCAGTTTTACTACGTGAAGCGTTACATGTATAATTCCGTGTGCAGAGGAGATCTCATCCGAATATATAAGTATATTTCACTTTCTACTGTGTGAAATTGAAATCGATTGTTTGTGTATTTGGAAAGATTGAATAAATATCACTGTATCGCGCATTTACTATAGAGATTTAGTAAGAATAGTAAATATATGAAAAATAATAAATAATAAAGGCTCGAAATATATTGTATTTATATAATGATCACGTAAAATATCGTAAATATTTGTGTTATTATACAATAAAAGGTAATGTAAATGTATGTAAAAATGATGTTATAAAACACTACAGCATTAATTACAGAAAAGAGCATAGCTATACGCTTATAATATTGGAAGTCAATCCAAACTCCTCCTGCATAAGCGCTAAAAGAGAAATGAGAAACTCAAGGTGAATAAGAAGCACGTGAATCTAATCGGTGAAGATGGCAATTAACGAGACGATGGAACGGAGGCAGGAAGAATTTCCATTTCCAGCGGAACACGCAGACCGTGCCTTCCGGTACAGCGATCCAGCGGCGCGATTATTAGTTATATGTTAGTTATGTGTTAGTACGTATCCATCCCACATGCTTTCTGCCTCGTTGCCACGAACGAAAGTCTGCTTTGAAAACGACACGGCCGTACGTTTACGACGCACAACAAAAGAATTGGAAAAATTCGGAAGTACGGTAAGTTATAGGAAGTAATTGTAAAATTAATCTCTGTCTAACACTTTTCCTCCAAACTTGCATCAACAAAACTAGCTGAAAAGCAATTATTTTACCAAATAACGGTATATATTCATTTACTCGCTTTATTACTTAACGGAATTCTGCTTTCTTTTACTTATGTAAAAATTTCTCATCTATCGTGCTTTTATGCAGCTGCACTAATTAGGTATAACAACTTCCCTTTTTTTAATTAAGAACGAGAGCACATCAATCAGAATTTATGCGATATAACATCGAAACAATATGAATCTTACTTATATTTTATCATATGAGTAAGCTAGATAACGAAAATCATTACATCTAATTAAGATTATTACCATAGATCTAAATAAATATGTAATACTTAAGTCAGAAAGTGTCATAAATAATAAATAGTTATTAAAATATACTTGAAAACAAAAATTAAAATAAAATATCTGTATTAACTCTCCCCTAAGAATATTATACTTAAACACAGATTCTTCAATCAGGTTCTCCGCATCATCCACGAGATTTAATAATTATTCCTGGACGACCGACTGAGCGATTATTGAGCTCAATAGGTTAAGAAACAATCCCTTGTTGCTATTGTCGGCGATAATGGCGGATAGTCTTCGCGATGACAATGCGGCACCGTATAACAAAAGAGCCGCGAGATCGGAGAAAACGGTAATAGTAGGCAAGCACCGAGAAGAAAAGGGGGCGAAAGGAAACGAGGAAGAGATGAAGCGAGACGGAGGAAAGTCGGCAGAGAAGAAGATGCTTGCCATACAAGGACGACACAGAGACTCGAGACCATTGTTGCTGTACGCCCTAATCCCAGCGATCCACTCTCTCACTGCGCTTTTACTAACGAGCACCATTCCCATAACTCGTAACTTCGCTACCGACGTCGTTCTCGGTAGTTCTCCTCTTCCAGAAGAGGACGTCCGTCGATGCTCGTTAAGTCCATAGTTTTGCGTTTCGAACGATGTTTATGCCACTGTTTGCGCGGATTTCGAACGCACAGCTAATATATGTATTAATACATCTTGAGATTTCGTTACAATGCACGCTAATCAATAATCTACAGAAAACTGCAACAAATAAAATGCAACGTTATTCTATGTATCGAATCATTTTTTTTCAGTTACAATAAGTAAAAGATACACCTTTTTATTTCTGATAAATAAATGTAGCTTAAGACTCTCACGTGATTTTCCTCTTTATGGAGCTTACAATGTATATTAATGTGATAAATTCTTCAATCAACTTTCTTCCTCCTTTGATAATTCCTTCTGTAGTATTTGTAGAGATACGTAAAGTTTAATTTTAAAAAAAAGTTATTTTATCTCAAAAAAGTATTATATTGTTTCGATACAATTTGTTGAAAATCTTTAATCTTTTTTTATATTATTTAAAAAGATCCTGGAATAGAGCGCGACTGTCGAGAGCAGCGAGGCGCGAAACACGGCGAGCGCAGAGATGCATGGAAAGTGCATGCGCATCGCGTTGGTCACGTTGGTAAAGCCGTAAAGCTAGCGGCCGCCCTCGTTTGACCAGGTTTTCAACTCTCTAGAGCCGGCTTTTGTCGGAGGCTGGAAATCCGCGTGTCTCTTTTCTCTCTTCTCTCTTCTTCCCATCTCGCTCCCTCACGGGCTCTCGTTTGCTCTCGTTAACGGAAATGCGTATCGTAATTCGAATCGTGACCATAAATACGAGTATGCTCGCGCGCGTGTATATATCTACACGCGTGCGTGTCCGCATTATACGTGTCACGTTCGACTCGCGTGCGTCTCTCTCGACTTCTCTCAGCTCTCGGCTCTCAGCCGTTGGCCGTTCGTTGCGGACCGATGCAACTGGATGCAACTGGGACGCACCGCTCGATGCATCACCCGTTACGAAATGTATACGTCCGCAGGAGTATCCGGACATGTTTAGACGCATATCAACTGTTTTGTTTGTTTAAACAAAGTAAAACAGGTTTTTTTTTCTTCCTTATTTATAGAAAGTTTTCCTTATTAATATATCATAAAAAATGTCGCATATAAAACGATATATTTACCAAATATATATATTTTCTATTTAATTGATTTAATTTATGATTTTCAATTTGTTTTATCGTGCGCGCGTACGTTCCAGATTCCAAGTACATCTATCGTTATTACTGCTACGATAACTATTATGTTACAGCCACGGCAGAAGGACGTCGCTAATAGCAGAGTTAATTAACCAAGGTCATTCGATAACAATCGATTCCAAGTATCTCACATCATTATATTTCAGTTGTTTTGGCACGACTGATTTCTAAACATTAGCAACATTTCTTTATAAAATGAACATTATTTTTAACAAAAGAGATGAAGAATACTATTTCCAAT